GGAAAAACTTAGGCACTCCCACCCACCCCCTAAGATCATTTCTCATAGTTTCTTTTCCTCCCTAAGCAGCCCATATTCAACAAGTATTTGTCAAGAGCCTAAAGTTCTGGCCAGCGTACAAAGAGAAAGAAATGAAACAGAAAGGCAAAAGTTAATCAGTCATCAAAACTCAATACCTCTCTAGCCACCACAGAACACAGCCATACAGATCTTGCCTTTAAACTAAAGGCTTAAAGTAGAGACAAAGACATGGGGGAGAGGGGAGCAAATATATATACGCGTATACTCACATAGAGTAATACAAACTGTGTATGATATACATATGTGTTTCTCCCCAAATGTGTCTCTTTATACCTTAGTGTCTAAGGCTTAGATGGTCTAAGGCTTAGACTATAAACTTATTATACACACACACACACACACACACACACACATAATGTTCACTACATAGGAACAAGTCAAAGTAATAACCTGTCCATCATTACTGATCTGAACCCCATGTGCTAGTCCAGGTTGGTTCCCTCTTAGATTTCTTGACCATCCAGGATCTTTTTCCTAATAATTTTCTTCCCTTTTGTGTTTTTGTTTGTTTGGGTTTTTTTGTTTATTTGTTTTGGGTGTGTTTGGCTTTGTTTTCTTTTTTTCCCCACTTGGTCTTATTCATTTGAATCTTAACAGTGTTCATTCTCTCCTTCAAATTCTGTACTGAGTATTTTAGTTTACAAATCTCAGTTTTTAGTTGGAAAGTGTTTCTGTTTTGTTTGTTTGTTTATCCTTGAATCCCCTTAGGCCAGTGGTTCTCAACCTTCTGGCCCTTTAAATATAGTTCCTCATGTTGTGACCCAACCATAAAATTATTTTCGTTGCTACTTCATAACTGTAATGTTGCTACTGTTATGGATCGTAATGTAAATATCAGATATGCAGGATGGTCTTAGGCGACCCCTGTGAAAGGGTCGTTCGACCGCCAAAGGGGTCGCGACCCACAGGTTGAGAACCGCTGCCTTAGGTAGTCTTATTTTCTTCACTAAAGTCAGCAAATATCTCCCAGGCTTCTCTACTTGTTTGATCTTCACCTATTTGGCTGAGAGTGTCCTTATCCACGTTATCTCTTTCTCCGCTCTTTGGGGCCTCTCCGGATGTTGGAATTCCCATGGAGCCTAAGGCCTTCATTGCTCTGAGCTGCCTGCCAGCCCCACAGTTGCTTGGGTCAGGACTGACAACCAGGTTTACTAGTAGAGTTGGGAATGGTGGGGAAGTGGGATGAAATTGGGTTGCTAGTGGCCCCAAATCCTCTAGAAATCTCTGGGAACTGAGTATTGAAACCACAACTCTTCTGTATTTTCAAGCATCTCAAACTTAGGGTCAATGATCTGGATTTGAGTATGGAGTTTTCCTCACCATCTGAGTGATCCTGCACATGTTCCTGAGAACACAGGCTTCCCTTCCTTGTCTGTAAAATGAGATTCAGCCATGCTGCCCCACTTGCCTCCCAGGGTGTGTTGTAAGGATCAAGTGAAACCATAACCACTAACTACAGACATGGAGATGACTTTGGGATTGCTATTATTCCCAGTCCTGGCTCCTTTTCTTTCTTTAACTAAAGTAACAGAATTGGAAGAGGTGAGCACTTGAAAAAAAAATTACAAAATACCTCCAGCTTCTAGAATCCTACAAACAAAACAATCAGAATATGTTTTTCAGGAAACTACTAACTTATCTGTTCAGCACAAACTGTAGACCAGGAGAAAGCAGGAGAAACACACCGAAGCCTGCTCCCTCCCTACATACAAAACGGGAGGTGTGGCTCAGTTGGTTGGGAGTTTCTGGTTCAAGCCCTGTGTTGCAGGCTGGATCCCTGGTAGGGGTGACAGGGGGTGGGGATAGGGGCAGCGGATTGATGTTTCTCTCTCTCCCTCTCCCTTTCTCTCTCAGTAAAAATCAATAAAACATCTTTTTTAAAATGGGAGGGACTGTGGGAGAGAGGAGAGGATAGTAATTAAAGGGATCAGGGAGACTACCGCTCACCAGTTACCATTTCCTTGACCTTGGGCAAGCTGTTTTATCTCTCTGAACCTACTTTCTCATTTCTAAAATGTACTAGCTTTGTCAGGGGAGTTTAGTGAAGATAAAGTGGAACAATAACATGTCCTACACAAGATTTGTGACACATAATATGTACCCAATAAAGGGACCAAGCATATAGTCCCTTTTCAGACTATTTACACTACATGTATTTGATTTTCACAGGCAGACTGGCCTTTTCTCAGTTTTGTCATTTATACTGTCCCACCCATGACTTGCAGTTGAAGGGGGGAATAATCCCTCTCTTGAGTTTTAAGTGGCAGCCCTTCTTCAATGGGCTTGAATAATGTGTTTTCCTCTGTCAAGAACAAAAATAAAGTAAAATTAACATTCCTATCAGCTGAACAGGTGGCCCAGAGAGACCGGCAACTGTCATGCACCATCGTGGGGACACTGACAAGCAGGGACAGGGTGCCCGGGGCAGCACGGTGTCTAATTATGGAATCTTTAATTCACTGGCCCCTTTTGGCAGGGAAGGCCCCCAGCACAGATCGGTGTGGACAAATAAAGCTTCTGCATCTTAGCACTTGGCTCGACAGCCAAGAAGGCTTAGGAACACCTGCTCGGCGCTAAGCATCAAGCATTAGAGGAATCAAAAGAAATTAGAGAGGTGGTCCCTGCCCTTGAAGAGCTTATGGTCGGCACCATCAACTTGTTTCTACGTTCTGGTGTGTGTATATATATATAGTGTATATATATGTACATATGTATATGTATGTACATATGTATATATTGGATTGTGCAGACCCTCATTTTAAAAATTTTATGTTAGTCACCCTCTTCATTTCAATGTTTAGGTGACTGTGAGGCCTGGAGAGTTTGTGTGACTTGCTCATGCAAACAATTCTATTTTTTAAGGGGACAGAATAACTAAAGGATCATTTCCAAGTACAGATCTACTGAAGTTCTTAAAAATCACACTGAGTGCCTCTGAGTGCTTCAGGTATGCTGATGGGACCTGTGACCCAGTTTTCAATCACGTCTTCTTCTTCCTTTTCGCCAACACACGGAGTTAGAAGAAAACTGGCTTAAGTGAAGAAAGGGAAGCCTCCAGGTGGTGGGGAGTATATGGACCACTGGGTCTCGGTCAGCAGCAGCCGGGCAGCCTCGTCCTTCCCCTCATCCTTCCACTGGTGGAGGAACCGCAGGGAGCTGCTCCCCACTGAGACCCTACAGAGGGCCATCCCTGAAAGAGCCAGGGAAGGGAGGGCAAGCCCTTTGAGGAATTTTTTGGGCTGAAGAATTAGAAAAAGATAATTTTATTGCAGAAACTCATCCAAAGCCTCCCACAGGTTTTACTTCATTTCACCCAAATGTCCAGACCAACACTAACTGCTGGTCCTCAGAACTCCCCCCACCACCTCTCACGGGGCTGTAATGAAGTACTCGAAGCAATGAATGACTCCAGCAAGTGGTCAGACGTGGGTTCCTCACTTACTGGTTCTGTTCCTTTAGCAGGTTACCCAGCCACCCCCACCAAAGTTTCCTCGTCTGCGAAGTCAGGATCACCATTCCTCCTCGGGGGACGGGGCATAGCCACGCAGGAGTAAAGGAGGAGACAGTCAGGAATGGCATCCGCCTCTGGTCCAGGTGACCTCCCCTGTTGTGACCTCCTTTGAAAGAGGTTCAGTTCTGGGCTCCTTAATAGAAGTGTGCAGAGACGTGCAGAGCAACAGCACTAACTTACACATTCACATAGCACAACAGGGAAGCCATGAAATCATTCCGTTTCCAGCCACATGGAGAATGTTTAAAATCACTTATGTGAGCAGAAGGGGAAGAAACAGTATTGCAAGGTCTTGCAATTTTTGTGTAAAGAAGGAAGAAGTATAACCGGGTTATCTTTTTTTTTCCAATTAATTTAAACGACAAACAAAAAGTCCATTTTGACAGTCAGAGGTGAAAAATAATTTTTTTTTTGCTCTCTATTTCCTGTTGTATTTCCCGTTAGGATGTAAAATCTTGGAAATAACATTTTGGTTTTCCCAAGTGTTCACCTCATTCAAAGCAAATTAGTCAGAGAATCACAACCTGCATAAATCCATCAGCGTTGGGGCCTGGGATCTCAGAACACGGCTGGGCTGAATCCTGAGATAAGTCTTCATGCCAGAAACCCTATTATTTAGAAGAACAGCAAAAATAACAATCGGAGATGACATCAGGATGGTGAGAGCATTGCACTCTTCTTCCTTGTGCATCAGAAGAAGCTAACATCTGCTCATCGCTGGCGAACAGCACAACACCGGAGCCTGGGAAACGTCTGGTTGGCTCCAACATACATACTCTTCTGCCCTCTGGGGAAAATTCTCTGTTCACTCCATGGCTTCAGAAAGACCATTGGCATGGGCACGCAAACACCTTCTGGAGATGGCGTGGAAATATCATTCAGTGAGTTGAGAACAGATAAGGATGTGTTTTTACACTTGTGGATAAGTAGATTCTGCTTGGAGCATGGTGAACCCTTCTGTCAACAGGTCCTTTCTCAATTCTTAGCCTCTGACTTATTTAAGGACATTACAGAGAGTATTTATTGGTCGGGTTGGGGAAGTGTGCAGTCAGGTAGAAGAAATTGGCAAGAGTGCAAGACAGATAAAACTGAAGAGATGAGGCAAGGCGAGAGGAAACATCTGGAGCCCCTGGCAGGGGTCCTTTTAGGCTCCTCGCCTGAAGTAGCTCCCTATTGACCCTCTTCATTGTTGGCCAGAGTCTTGTTTTTCCTGCTATTGCAGATTTCTCTAAAAACAAGTAGGGTAACAGCAAACATTGGCATTTTGCTTTTAAGACTCACAAGATGTCCTCTCAAATCTCACCGGGAAGATTCTACTTCAATAATTCACAGCTAGTTGGGGGTTTTACATAAACGGCTCTGACACATACCAGGGAAACTAGTCAGGATTTTCCTGGGTCGTTCATACCTGGTTACAGATCTCAGAAAAAGCCCTGCAGCCGTGTGCCTCAGGTCTGACAATGCTGCCTGTTATATTCAGGAGCCGGTACATAATATCTGCAAGGTTCAGAGAAAAGAGTAGTTTAAAGAACTCATTTATTTTATGGTGGTAAGAACACTTTTCCCTCTAACAAATGTCTAAGTGTGTAATAGTTAACCATAGATACAGTGCTTTACAGCAGATTTCTGGAACTTAATTACCTTGCTTACCTGAAATTTTATTCCCCAACGATTAGCAACTCTCCAATTCCCTCTCACTCCAGCCCCTGGCCACCACCATTCCTCTCTTTGATTCCATGCATATGACTCTTTTAGACACCTCATATAAGCGAAATCCTGTAGTATTTATCCATCTGTGACTGGTGTATTTCACCTAGCAAAATGTCCTCATCCAAGGTTCATCCATGTGACTTGGAACATGGATGTTTCGATCAATAGAATCAAGTCACATTCATTCCCTCCCGAAGCTCTCTGAGCACAGGTAGACTTCCCATGTTCATCTGGCAGGTGGCCTCAGTCTTGCCGAGTCAGGCT